GCACACGCACACGCACACGCACGCATGCACTCACCCACGAATCACATAAATAAATTAAACCTTAAAGAAAAACATTATGGTGATTTGAAAGAAAATGGCCCCCAAAGGAAGTGGCACTCTTAGGAGGTGTGGCCTTGCTGGAGGAAGTGTGTCACCGTGGGGCGGGCTTTGAGGTCTCTTTTGCTCAAGCTTCCCCCAGTGTGACTTTGAGTCAACTTCCTGTTGCCTGCAAGGTGAGTCAGCTCCAGCACCATGTTTGTCTATAAACTGCCATGCTCCCCGTCATGATCGTAATGGACAGAACCTCTGAAACTGTAAGCGAGCCCCCCTCAAATGTTTTCTTTATAAGAGCTGATGTGGTCCTGGTGTCTCTTCACAGCCACAAAAACCCAAACCGAGATACCCATATCATATAAATGCTCACTTTTGATGACTTTCAAGTGTGGAGTTCAGATTTTTAGAACATTTTCATTTTGTGAATCTGAAACTCTCTATATACCATCTAAATAACAACTTCCACTTTCCTTCTATCCCTGACTCTCATAGTCTTTCTTACCCAGATGGGTCTCAGATCCGCTATGACCCTGCTGCCTTAGCTTCCTGAGCACAAGGGTTGCAGCCTGCACCGCCACATTCACTTTGATTGGCTTATTGCAATTAATATTTTTAACAAAATGATGACTTTAATATGTATCATAGTATAATATATGACAGGATTTTTCTCCTTTTCCATGTCAGAATAATTGTGAGCATGTGTATGTATATCTGTCTGTCTGTCTGTCTATCTGTCTATCTGTCTATCTGCCTGCTGAATTATCCATTCATCTATTGGTGGCCATTAAGAGTTGCTTTTACTTCTTGGCATTTGTGAATGATGTAAATAATGTGAGTATTTAAGTATTTCTTCATGGTTCCATTTTCAATTCTTTTGTGTGTGTGAGAGGGGGGGGGAGGGAGGGAGGGAGGGAGGGAGAGAGAGAGAGAGAGAGAGAGAGAGAGAGAGAGAGAGAGAGAGAGAATGAGAGGGAGAGAGAGAGAGAGAGAGAGAGAATTGATTTCTGGATTGGATCCTTGCTGTGGAATGGTCTTTCTGTACACTGTGAATATATGTTGCTTTCATTGGTTGATAAATAAAGCTGTTTTGGCCAATAGCCAGGCAGAATAAGGTTAGGCGGTACAATCAAATTGGAGAGGAAGAAGGGCGGAATCAGGAGAGATGGGAGCCAGCCACTCAAGAAGCAAGATACTGGCAGACTGATAATGTCACAGCCATGTGACATAAACATAGATTAATAGAAATGGATTGATTTAAGTTATAAGAGTTAGTTAGTAATAAGTCTGAACTATTGGCCAAACATTTATAATTAATATAAGCCTCTGAGTGATTATTTGTAAGCAGCTGCAGGATGGGGTGGGACAGAGAAATGCCTCTGATTTCAGATCCTAATTTCATTTTTAATTTTATGAGGCTCTTTTATTCCATTTTCTACAGAGGCGTATCACTTGACACTTCCAGCAGCAATGCAGAAGAGTTCAGTTTCTTCACATCCTTAATATTTATTGTATTTTTAGTAGCTGATCTCATATATGAGATGAGATCTTACCACAGTTTGAGGTAAGGATCTTCCACAGCCTGTACTGCCATTTTGTGTATTTTCTTTGGAGAAATATCTATTCAGGTCCCTTGATTTAAACTGAGTTCCTCACTTCCGTGCTGTTGAACTGCAGGAATCCTGCATATATCCTGATAGGAATCCTTTACCAGATATAGATTTTGCAGTTATTTTCCTGTGTTTCATATGCTTTGTTTTCATTGCTATTTCCTTTAATGTGAGATTTTAATTTAATTTATTTTATTTATTTATTTTTGATGAAGTTTCAATTGTTCAGGTTTTTGTTGTTGTTGTTGTTGTTACCTGTGTATTATCCTAACCAAGAAACCACTGCCAAATTTAATGTCATGAAAATTTTAGGCCTTTAACCCATTTTGAGAGCACCACCCGCCCCCGCCCCCATACATAAAGTACAGTATAAACTAAAAACCTAACTTCATTCTTCTGCAGGAGGGTATCATTTGCTGAGAAGACTATCCCTATCCCTATCAGTGTTCTCAGAACCTGAAGATCATCTGACCACATATATATATGAGGTTTTGTTTGAGGAACTCTCTATCATGTTCTTATGGAACGTAGGTCTATCATGCCAGCACTAACTATATCTGCTACGTTTTACCCGATCACTGACTTAGTTCTGTAGCTCGCCTTCCCCACAGATAAAATTTTTTAAGATAGCTTGCTGTGGAACCACCTCCTACTTCCTGACAGCATCCAATCAGGAGCAAATTTGGGCTGCTTCCTCAACCCCTCTTCAAAGCAATGGAATAAACGCGCCGATCCTGTAATAACCTCTCTCTCACGTCTTTTCCTCTGACGCCCTAAAATTCTTCATAGATTACAACTGGGTAATTCTAGCTGGAATATAAGTCCATACAAATACAAATACATGCAAGTAATATCTTTAAAAGATCCAGAACAGAAAACACAACAAGAATAGGATTTACTCGCCTCCCTCTGTGTGTGTGTGTGTGTGTGTGTGTGTGTGTGTGTGTGTGTGTGTGTGTTGGGGGATGGGGGTAGTAACTGTTACGAGTATCCCCCCAGAAATGACCACTCAGACACATTGTATAACCAACTGAAAGTCTTTATTCCAGCGGGCTGGGACCACACCCAGGTATTCGGGACCTAGGTGTGGTCCCGAATGTCCAGAACATGGGGTTTTTAAAGGAAGAAATCACATCTTGGCATCTTGCTCAGCAGCTGCAGGAAGAAGCAGTTTTAACAGAAGCTGAGATAAGCAGTTAGCTGGGGTGGAAGTGGGGGTGGGTTCCACATGAACAGGCAGTTTAACAGAAGCTGAGATAAGTTAGTTAGGACATCCTGACCTTTGGTTCCTAGAATAGAGTTGAGTAATTGGACAGTTGTGGACTTGGTCTTTCTCCTCATAGATTTTCAGGTTTAACACTGCTTGATTAACATTAAAATCTGAGAAACCTGGTGTAAGTGTTGCAGCTTTGAAGGGAAAGATCCTGGCAACTGGAAGCCAAGGAATACCACGAAATCACACAGCACAGCAAACCTCACACAAGAGATTTATTAGGAGGGAAAAATCCAGGAGGGTGGCTGCCTCTGCTCGGGAGAGAAACAGCAGGGGACTGAACAGAAGGTAGAGTTTATATAGAATTTCTTGGGAGGTGGAGTTTTCCAAGGTGGCCAGGAATTGGTGGGATTCTGTGGTCAGACTCTAGGGCAAGCTCAGGAATTGGTGGGATTCTGTGGTCAGACTCTAGGGCAAGCTCAGG